CCCCCCCCCCTCATTAAGCAAAGAGGCCATACTCTTCACTACTTAAATAATATTTAAGATTTAGTTCCTACTTCAAAGAAAGCAGCATGTCCCGTTAAAAAGTCTAACAGGTTATTTAGTTTAGGGAAGTAATTGCTGTTTATGAGAATCATGCAAGAAAACAGAAATGTGTGAGCAAAATGCATAGTTCTTAAGTTAAAGCATGTGGTGTCTATAGTAGCCACTGTGATTTAAATGGTTGTGAAGGTTTACCCAATACTTAGAATGTTCTCATCTAAAAGTGTGGCCCTTTGTAGGGCCACAGGATCCCATTAATTTGCTCTTAGCAATAGCTTTTGTCCTTTCTTCTTCTCTGTAACACTAGATGTTTTCTCCACATGGCTTACTTCTTTACCCTAGATTCATGCAGGAGGTTCCTCCACAACATTAGCACCACATCTTAAAAGACAGCAGTCTCCATGTCTTACCTGTCTGAACAATCCACTTACAACCCGAATCGTGTTTCAGTAAGCCAGAAAGCATTCTGACATAGGCCCGTTTCACTGATGAACTATCACAGTTTTGATGCTTGAGCAGCTTGCTCACTTGCCCAACGACATCAGTAACCTGTAGTAATTCAAATCTCTTCCAATCACTAACAACCAACCCCATGAAATGTAATGCAAAGGATGCCAAAGACGGTTCTGGGGTTTTTTCCTTCCACATTTCTGCTATTTTCTGTATCCATTCCTTGCATACTGGGAGATCTATCAGATGACTGCTGTTTCCTGAAATAGAAATAAAAGGTTAATTAACAGTGTCAATAATCACATGGACATAAACAAGAACACTTAGTACTGTTTACAATTATCGTCATTACCTGACAAGTGGGTTAACAGCTTTTCCATATAAATATCATCATTGCCACTGCTTTTGTAGTTGGGATCCAGGAAACGATGCAAAACACGTTCAAGTTTATTTTGTTCGGGAGAATCTGCCATGATACAACCGCTGTTATTGCACAACGAGCATTATTTGATGCCTGACACTCCTCTCCCTCCTCTCTATTTTTCCTATTACGTTTGCCAAGATTTACTTAATCTATGTTTACATGTGACCTTGTTCCTATGCTCCTGACTGCCAATTACATACCACAGATGACTTATGTACAGCTGTTTCTTTGTGGTTATGTATGGTTATAGGGTCAAAGTCGCAAGTCGTCGTAACTGGACTTGAACTGTGAATTCTAATGCAGCGTAAATTACAGAATAATTATAGTAAAGGCCAATACTTCATCTAGCTAGCTTTGCTGTTATATTTTAACATAACAAGATAAGAACAAGGTCTCGGTTCATTTCTATCATGGCAGTCTTCATTCTTTGATAACGTTGAAGTAATTCACGTCCATTTTGGTTCAAGGGGTCGATAACACAGTGCTCAGCGCTACTGAGGGTAGAGGAGGGATATTTTATATTGTGGTACCCATGTGAGTATGTGACAGTCTTGGAACGTACTGCCATCTAGAGCGTATGTTCGTAACGAAGTTTTAAAATGGTGCAAAAATGGTAATAGTTCTTTGTCATTTTAAGTATTCAAAAGGAGGAACATAAGGTTTAAGTGATTTTAAAGTCGAAACAGTAACATGAAGTTCAGATGTTTATATTTTTACGTCAATGAATATTAGGTAAGTTTGATTGTAGTTATTAAGTGTAAAGAGCCAGAATATAAGGCATCTTGTACAATGCAGAAATATTTCAGTAGTTACAAGAGTTGCTTTTAGAATTTCAGGTACTAACAGTACTCTTTCAAATGAAACAGAATATCTGACTGAATGTTTTTTTCCTATTAAAGGGCTGTATTGAACCTCACACAAGGCCTACCCCAGTTAATATTAATAACTGTCAATTGTGCATGTAACGATAAAATGAGAACTTGCAAAGAAAAAACATACTGATGCCCAAGAAACTCAGTCTGGTCAGTTACAGAGGAGAGTGAATAATGTCTTCTGTAGTTACAGTAATTTTCCGTAACCAAGGGTCATTACTGGAAACTGTAGTGTTAATTTGTACAAATATAATGAATTACCATTAGGGACCATTGTGTCTGAAGGGTTAGTAATGAACAGCTTGTGGTTGTGCAGTGAATTTGTGAGCGACAGTGTTAGACTGACAGTTAACAGTTATGCCTTTTCGCTTTCATTGCATTAACACATTACATATTTTAAATTACTGGACTTTACAACATTTATACATTTAACTGTCTCATGATGTAGAATATTGGATTCTCTGCTGTAGTGAAGTGACATTAAGTCTCCTAAGTATTTCATATGCATGTTTGTGTGGTAGTGATTATTGCATAATTGTTTTGGATATGAGATTCTCATGGCACTACTGTGATCATTACTGTCTTCTGGGATGTGGTACCATGTAATAGTTCATAGATAGTTTGGGGGAACATCTTGCCTCCATCATCAGATTGAAAAAGCAAGCCAAACAAGCAACCAGCAAGAAGGGAGCAGCTCTTGCTTGTCTTACCCTTTTTGATAGAGGCAGCATGTTCCTCTGAAATGTCAGTGGTTTTCACTTCCTCTACACAGAAGCTGGTTATTTTCTTCATAGTATGTAACAAATCCTGCATGATGTCTGTGGTTTTCACTTCTTCTACACAGAAGCTGGTTGTTTTCATCACGGTATGTAACAAACCCTGCGTGCTTTCACATCATTTCATAAAATGGTTGGGTATTATTGTATTCAGTGATATATATTGTTAAGGCCTTGAATCTTTTGAAATCCTTGGGTCATTTTGTTACATTTCACAGCAAAACTGATTTTATCGAGTTTTAATACCGTTGTGTCTTACTTCATTAGAAGAAGAACCACAGAAGAATGTCAAAGATTGATCAGTATGAAATTAGATGTCACCATTTTCCTGATTGTGGTACCTCTAGTGGAAAATTGTTGCAACTTTATGGTCACACTTCAGTTCAGAGCTTTGACAGTTGTAATCTAATGCCTGAAAGTTTGGATGTATTGTATTGCTTTATTGTTTCATACTGAATGCCCCAAATTGTAAAGATCTTTTGTGCTCACTCTGTACTTTACAGAATTTGTACTCACTTTACTTTACTTATTATGCCTGTGGAGTCGATTTTTTGAGTGATGGTTTTAAACACAAAACTTACAACGACAAGACTCTTGATGTGAATCACTGTAAACCAGTGAAAAAGTGATTGATTGCAAATCTTGTACCAGACTCTGTATGTAACAGCTTGCGCACCAATTTTGAATCCTAAAAATCGTCCAGGGCAAGCGATTGACCGCTTATATTTTTCTTTGGTTGTGATTGGTCCTGCCAGGGTGCCCATTCATATGTGTTTTCTTACGCGTTTGAAGATAACTATTTCAGCGATGAACCATCTACATTAGTTTTAAATTGTACCCGGTTCGTATCTTGGTTGAATTGTTGTACTGCGGTTTATTCGTGTGCGAAAAACTTCTCTCCTAGCCCCGATTTCATGTAATACCATATGTGCCTATTTACCTTGTTCTCTGTTGTGATGTGGTTGTTGGTTTGAATCGTGAAGACATGAATCACCATAGATGGTACGGCAGTTCGGTACCAACCTTCACGCGCTCTAATTTTATCCATGGAACCATGGAGGGTTTCAAGACTTCCCTCGGTTTCTCCAGGAAGATTCTGGAATAGAATCCGACATTAGAACATTGTTGCTTTGTTTGAAATCGCCGGAAAAGCTTACTGAAGTTGTAACATGTTGACTTTTCTTTGGCAGGTGTCCGTTTCGAATCTCGGTCGGGTTACTAATAATTTTGACTGGGATTTTTCATGGTCTTTCTCAGCCCCGCCAGGAAGATTCCGGGATAGTACATCCTTCAGAATCCTTTCCAGTTCATCATTCAGCCTACTGTTCGATTTTTTTTATTGCTAGTGGGGTGAGACTAAGTCCCTTGTACTGCGACCACTTCTGGCCTATTGTACCAGCCCCAGATAATAGGCGAGGGTGATTGTGGAGCAGTTGACAGGGGAAACCGAAATACTCGGAGAAAACCTGCCTCACTGCCACTTTGTCCACTACAAATCCCACTTGACCAGACCCGGGATCGAACCCGAGCCGCCGCGGTGGGAAGCCAGGGACTAACCGCTTGAGCTATGGCGCAGCCGTACTGTTCGATGCTGTATACTCCAGATACTGACGTCGCAAAATGACTAAGCTAGGCTAAGATAATGGGGCCCTGCTTGCCATCTATTCGTATTCGGCTCATTCTTTGACCCTGAAGATGGAGGCAACATATTCCTCCGAAACGTCGGTTGACATTAAGCGGAGTACACGGCATTATAGCCCAGAAGACAGAACCAGTTTTGTTTGCGGTCTCTATTGGCTTCACTAGTTCCTCACTTGCTGCACACACCTGCCTTGCGGTGTGGTACACATCCTGTGGACGGTTTCCAAAATGTTGCTGGGTATGCTGGCGTCATTGGTCAGACATGTGGAATGACGTACATAATTATCTTAATGACATACAAGTACGTTCTATGGTTACAGCATTGAGCTGTCGCCTGCGCCTGCAGGATCACGTACCGGCATCCCTGCTGGGCGCGACGTACAGCTTGCTGCTCAGCGGTACTTCAGTGTATTCTAACTGCATTGACCTTTTGAGGTACGAAACAGGGAATTAAGGAGGGGATATATCAGATTGACGACCTGTTTACCTAAGGTTCGAACATGGAACTCAGAGCCTGAGCACTGCTAATTAGCCTGGCTGTTAAAGGAACGGATTTGTTGATCCACGTGCATCTAAATAATAATAATAAAGAACTGGTTTTTGCCTCACAAGAAACATTGCTTCTGGATCAGTCGGTTAAAGCTGTTTATGGAAATAATCACTGTTTATTGTGAGAATAAGACTGCGTAAATAAATCCTGTTGGGGAAAATGCAGTGACTTTCGTTTCGTGTTAAAGCAGCTGGTACATACAGCGGCCACTGTACCTCGTTTGGAAATACAGTTGTGGCGTATCGGCTGTCTTGTGTTTCTAAGGCCGAGGGCATACCAAGGAATCTGGCAACCGCAACGCAACCGCGATTTCCGAGAACTGTTATGAGCCTGAGTTGAACACATGTTAGTGGATGAAGCAGCGGAAATTGAGGAAACGGCAACACAACTCGCGGAAAGACTAAGAAACTCAATTTTCAGGCAACGGAGCATGCCAGTTTTCTCACAATTGCGTTGCCGCGTGGTTTCCTAGTATCGGTTGTCCTGTAACGTGCTTCAGTGATTCATTTGTTTGTTAAGGTGGCACGAAAGGTTGACGAAGCCACTAATTTTGTTTTTGATGATGATTTTGTGCAGATAATTGAGCGAAAGCCTGGTATATATGACAAACGCCACACAGACTGCTAAGCGGGACAAAATAGATTTGGCTTGGGAAAGAATTTCACATGAGACGAAGGAGTCTGGGTGAAGGATAAGTCCTTTCGAAACAATATAAGCACTTCGGTTTAAATTGTCACAGAATAACGGCTGCAACCAATGTTATCTTTTCCTAATATTGTATTTAAGCATCCTGTTGCATTAATATATAATTTATTTCACATATATTTCCGTCTTAAATACAACTAATTAATATGTAGTCACCATTCTTGCGCATTACATGTATCGGCTTTATACGGTCATCATCAGGTGTCTTCTAGCTTGCTAAAATTGTTGTACTGTATGTCACAATTTCGTATCGCTTGTGAACGCGATATTTCCTGATTAAAATAAATTGACTTTAATTAAAGCAAATTAATTAACATCCCAGTATTTCCCTTATGGTCGTCGTCCTTTCTTCTCACGCCGTCTCAACTGGTCTCAACCACCTCCATATTATGACAGGATCAGTATTATTATCTTCCATTGAAGGTGAGTGCATGAAACTATAAAAAATACAATCATGCATTACGTCGGACGAACGTACACACTTAAGATGATGTGGACAACTAATGAAACATGAGTTTCCTCAGTAGGGCCTGATAATCTGGAAACTAGTTGCCTGCTTCAAATCGGAGACATTTCTCGGAAATTTCGGTTGCGGTTGTCAGTTTCCTTGGTTTGCCCTCGGCCTAATTTCTGTGCAGTTATCAGCGTCGATATACAAGTGCCCGTGTTGTGCACTGCGCAGACAAGAGCTCGAGCAAGATAGCTGACTTCAACGACCTCCATTTGATGAAGTGGACCCTGGACTCTGTTGTGATACGCGGCTTGGGGATTCCGGCCTTTTGCTAGCCAGAGATGTTAATTTGGTTGGAAAGGGAAATACCACACAGACCAACTGGTTTTGAATCGTTAACGAAGCAGAGGATTTCTGTACATTCCTTGCACTGTTGCATATCAAGTACAGACCGTGTACAGGCAACATATCCCGGGCGAAGGACGGGCATTTCTACTTGTTTCAAATAAAACTAACATTGAATGAAATTTATAATTAAATCCTCTTCTTGGAAAACCACGGATTTATGGATAGGAAGATTAGGTCAATGGAGGTAGATTTCCAACGCGTCTCTATTCGTTCGCCTCATTCGTTCGCTCATGAGGCCTCTGAAGATGAGCTGAATTCAGTGAATTTGTAATGTGTTGCTCGTTTAATGTTGGCGCGCTGTGCATTCGGCAAGCGGCCCCCTGGGGGGG